CCTCTCTAGAGATGTTTGTGTAGAAGCAGTTAAGAGTGATTGACAAGCAGATGTGTAGACAGAAAAACCTTTACTGGAGACAGGGAAGAGAAGGGCTACAGTATATAGCCATATAGCCTTTCATATATATATATATATATGTGTGTGTGTGTATATATATGCTTCCTCCATTCACTCAAGGAGAAAACTTACTCCTCAGTAAAAAGCTTTTGCAGGGCAACATAGTTATTATAGAAAAGTCTTTCACATGTTCGGGGCAGCAGAGAGGTGGCTTAGGGTGCTGTAGTTGTGGACAAGGTGTGAGCTAAGGGTGAGATACAGGTGAGGTTCAGTAAGTATTTGGGATGAGAGAATTTCTATGTCTAAATGGCATGGCTCTGATGCAGTAAAGTTTAGGTCTTTGCAGAAGCTTCTGGCAAGATCTGGCCTAAAAACGTGAAGTTTTGTGTATCAGTTATTTGTGTGATTGTACCAGCTGCCTTCGTCTAAAAAAACCCTGTTTGATTCAAATCTCTTCAGCTGTAGAAGACCACAAAAGAGTAGATTTAGACACCAAGTTTTGAATTCAATTTTCCATTTTCTTTTTTCCACCTCTCCCTTAAGTTTGGGAAGAATGAGTATTTTAGGCTATTTTCCTGAAGAATAGTTTGATCATGCAATCTCTCTGTCTGGCCACCAGTCCTTCTGCATCACTTGAGCAGGAGCAGGCCCTCAAGTGTAGACCTCTTAGATGTATGCAATTTCTGTGGGTTTCTGAAACTGAGTAGCTGACTAAAGACGGATCCATATGGTGCCCAACCCTGTAAGAAAGGGAGCCCCTTATCGGTTTGAGGGGTAGCTGGATGATGTTAGCAATCATAATTCCTATGCTTGATGGCATTTGCTTCCAAAAAGAGAGTGGAAATCATGGGGAGCTGGTGTGTGCAGAAGCAAGAGTGAAGATTAGGAGATACGGTATCCACATCTTGTTTGGCTTCCTGATTTCTCCTGCTCAGGGTGTATCTTGTTTTTCTTTGTGTTTCCTTTGCTGCCTTTTTCATTTGTTTATATCATCTATCAAGTTTATCATTATGTGCTCACACACATAAAATCTTTATTAGCCATGCATACTCTCCATTCTTTGTTTTAATTTTCCTGCCTTCCTTCTTTGTTAACAAACTCTGCTGATCGCAGACGTTTCCCATCTGACAGCACCTGAGTCTAAGGTTTTCCAACCACGCAATGAATGCTGGCTCCTTCCTCCATCTGCCCTGCTGTGCGGGATAGGGCCATGCCCTGGTAGAAGCAGGGAATGAACCTGCCCTCCCAGCCAAACTCGGGGTCACAGTCCTCCTGGAGGTCAAGAGTCCAGCAAAGAAATAGAAGTTGGGCCGTGATCTTAGGTGTGGTTATAAACAGGTGTGTTTAGGGTCCATATCCTTGTGCTGCTTTGGTCTCTTTGAAGCAACTGGCTGAAAGAGAGGTGAATCAGGCTCAGTGCTGAGACTGAGAAGGTCCTTTGTGCTCTGTGTCCGACTTCATCTCTTCTCAAATGCACTTGAATGGTGGTCTTCTTCCCACCAACTTGGCTTGACTGGGCCTCTGCACTGACAGCCATACCAAAGAATTCCTCACTAGTTCTGAGGGTTAGCGCTCTCACCCCTGTTGTACGTGAAAATTGGCTAAAAAGAATTTCAGGTGCTTTGCGCCAGTTTTCCCAAGTGAAAATGCTGTACTGAAAGGTCCATTTCTTAAAACACAACTTGATCAGTAAAGGACCATGTGGTTGTTGTGTGGACATGTGTCCATAATATGGCTGGGCACCATGAACATCCTTTCCTTTTGGACAACGGTGAGAAGAATGTTTCTGTGCCAACACCTCTTGAAATCCTTCCTAACAAATCCTTCCCTAAAGAGCCTTCTAAGATTATTCTGCCTTGAACGTGAACTGGTAGAGTGAATAAATCATTTTCTGGCCCAAGCCTTTTATGATCCTTTAATCTTAACGCTTTTTCTAGAATATCAGTTTAAGGGACACTGATAAAGCGTTTGCACTGTCCCTGTGGGAATGGCATAGCCTCTCATTTGTGTCCTCTCTCATCATACTTCAGAAACTCTCTGTATTTTTTCAACCTTGTTTTTCAGTAGGGATGGGAGTTTCTTTTTGGTCAGTGGTGTTAGTTGGTGTTTGAACTTCAGTGGCTACAAGAGAGTAAACCACCCCCTTCCATGGGTGATAAATCTTTAAACCCAGGTTCTGGGGCTTGCAAAGATTGACAGAGCTGCCTAGTGGATCCTGTTTAATGCTACTAATCGTCAGCAGTTCTTGCGCTGGGACAGAGAGCAAGCGAAGCAGCAGCACGTGGGTGGCAATGCCGCTGGCCACAGAAGAGTAACTGCTGTGATCAGGAGAAAAATAAGAGCACATGGATGGAAGACTTAGGAAACAAAACTTTGGGACACCTTTCACTGGCTCCCAGTTTGTCATTTTGCCGCTTCATCTATAATAATGCCTATGTAAATAAATAGAGGATTTTTTTGGCCAATGTCCTGTAGTTATTCCACAAAAAGGGTAGCTCCAGGGAAATTAATAGCAGGGATGCAGAGCACACAGACAACACTAAAAGGATGCTCAATCGGTGTGCTTGGGGCAAAGTCCTTTCTGGAAGGCCAGGGGCTTGCAAATCAGATCCCAAAGCACATCCCATGGGAGAAGGTACCCAGATATTCATAAAATAAGTAGGCAGGAAGGCTGGAGTCACCATGGAGGTGAGCATCTGGGTAAGAGCCACAGTAAGGGGCACTGGCAAGTGAAGAAAATGGTCAGATAGAGGAAGATCCTGGAGGCAAGACCAAGTACCTTGAATTTTATAAGATTGAGAAGAAGAGGTGGCTGAGAAAAGTCTTGTCGTTCATGCCAAAGCAGCCTTTCCATTTGCTGGCTGTTCGTTCCTCATACCGCCGAGCTCTGCTGTCCTTCTTTAATTGTGTTCTTCCCTCCTGAAAAGCCGCTCTCAGTGTCAAGCAAGATCATGGTTACTACAGTGTCGTTTTCAGATTACACCAACAACACAAAAGCAAAAGATGTGTGTGTCATGTCTCATTTACTCAGTTGCAGAGGCATTCAGGGGCATCTTCTACTTGTGCTGATCATCTTTAAGCCGTGGATTGGGCTGCAGTCCTGGAAATGCATCACACATTTCTTAGCGTTGCAGCCACTGTAGTAGTGAAGATGGGGACAAGTCCTGAAGGATACGTCAGTGAAAGCCTCCACAAATCACAAGATCTAGTTCTACTGCTCCATATAATTAGCAATTAAAATGAGTAAAAACAAAGCAGCAATTTTCTTATTGATCCCTCAGCAAATAGTTCTGTCTATTTTCTTCTGTATTGTTTCTTCTTATTAAATAGCCTTGAATAAGAAATGTCAGTCAAATGAATTTAGATTCCTGGTGCTTCAGACAGAAATCAAAGCAGGATTGAATGAGGAAAGATAATTAGAGAGAGGAATTCCACCTCCACAGACTTCTTCCCTTGTTCAAGGAGTGCTGATTTTATCTAAATTGCCAAAGCCGTGAGCAAATGAGAGGTGATGGGAATTATAGACTGCAGACGCTGAGACAAAGCAAGGGAAGCTTTAATTAGTGCATTTTAAGGTAGAAATGAATTTCCTGGGAATAAATTATTTGACTCAAGACATATGGAGCTTCTTAGAGGTGAACTGAAAAGCTTTTTACCTGCCAGAACCAGGGCTCACAGGTTGTTTCTGTCTTGTAGAAACGAGTGATGCATCACTGGGGTCTGACACACATGGGGACGAATCCTCCTTTCCTTTGCATCTCACTTTTTTTTTTTTTTTTTATATAGAGGAATTCCCATTGCTGCAGGTTCCTACCAATGCAACAGAAAGCAGGTTTTTTTTTCAATACTCACATTTACTCATCCAAGTGTTAGTGATGGACCTACCATTGCCAAGGAATTGGGAGTTGTGTATGGAACCGACAGGTACTGAAAGGAAGTTATTTTCCTTTCAAATTGTCCCCTTACTCTCCTTTCTTAGCTCTGTTGTCATCCTTTCATCACACTTGCACACACGTAAGGACACTGGGAACCTTAAAACACTGACCTTTCTATTTTTTCAGCAGATTTCCACAGCTTTTCAAAGGGTGAGACAGTGACAACTCTCTACTATTTGGAGGTAGATAGATTCCTGTTTGAACTGATGGAGCTGAAACGAAACCATTTAGCTGGGTGCTTTATTCCAGAACTCCCTGACTTCGGCAGAATTATTCAGGCTCTTAATTATTTACATATTCTGTGCAAGGCGGTTGCTCACAAACCTTGTTGAAAAGGCAGGAGTGGGGCCAGGACCAGACCTGATGGTTATGTTACAGGAGTGCTTACAGACCCATGATTGCAGGCGCTAGATGAACACAGAATAAAGTGGGTTTGCCCCCCAAGAACAACAGTATTCTCCTCCACTCTAAAAAGCGGGAATGAAGACCCATGGAGAGGCTGGCAGATGGACAGGCCACCCCAGCAGCACCTTTCCAACAGCTGGAGGTTTGCTGGCGGTGATGGTCTACATGAGCTATGAGCATGACCTGGAAAATCACCCCGTCTTCCTTTCCTGGGAGGACCACCACTCCTGATCTTCCAAAAACCCTGCTCTGCTGCTGGCCATATGTGTAAGATAACAACAGATGAGTAGAGCAGAAGTACAACCTAGCAGCTTCAGCTCAGTCTTTTTGATGAAGGCAGCCGAAGTCTTGACAAAAGCTAAAAAAACCCTCACACTCTCTCTGGGAAAACAAGTATCATGCTCACTGTTCTTTTCTAATGTTCTAGTTGCCTATTTCAGATGTTGCTGTTTTGCCCTGTAGGTTAATTTCTATTACCCATGATGAATGAATGCAGTCAAGAGGTATTAAAAGCTGATGTGTTTATCTTATGGCAAGATAGAAATGTTGCAAACTTGTGAGCTACGGGAGGAAATGGGCTAATTTTAGATTTGTTCCTAGCCCTCGCCATGCGAATGGTGTCGCTGCGAGCCCAGCAATGAAGTTCACTGTGTTGTAGCAGACTGCGCAGTTCCCGAGTGTGTCAACCCGGTCTATGAACCAGAACAGTGTTGTCCTGTCTGCAAAAATGGTAAGAAAGTACTGTATTGGCTTTAACAAAGAGATATAAAGGAAAGATTTTATTAAAATGTTGTTACCAATGTATCGCCAGGAGGTTTGCTTCCATTGGCACAGGCTGGCGTTGGGGCTGTTACTCCTCCTTGCGTGTGGGATTCAGTTACAAGGTGGCTACTGTGAAAATTAAGGCTGCCCTTCATGGTCTGTGTCTTCTCATTGAAGCTGATGGGATTGCTGACTTGAGTAAGGTTTTATAGGGTTGAGCCCTGATACTGGTGGTAGTTGGTTGATATCTTTGCTTTTTTCTCACAATTAGTCTAACGTGAAATGAAGTATATGAGAAAAGAGAGAGTCTTTGTCCCTAAATTAAGAAGCCAATGGTTGTTACTTCAGACCAGGGGAAAACTCACCGAAATCAATGGCAAAAGTCCCGCTGGGACCAGTAAGATACCCACCAAGCCTGTAATTTTGTAGGTTGTGTGCTGGAGTCTGTGTGTGTAGCCTTGGCCCTTTTTGGATTCAGCAATACTTTCAAAAAGGGTTTTGGGGCGACTGCAACTACCCCTTTGGGAAATAAATACGCTTCCAAGATGGTCTCCCTGGTCTGGTACCGCAGCCCATATGCACTTCTGTCTCTGGAAAAATACCTAATGTAGATATGAAGGCAGATTAAGAGGTGAGCTAACATCACATAAATCTCTTCATGGCTTTCTTAACATATAAGAAATGGCTGCTTAGACTCATCTTCTCGGTTTTGGAATTCATTAGCCATATATATTTCCTCTTACATATATCACTGCTGCTGGATAAGAGTAATGGTTGCTTCTGGACCTAAATGAAAATGTTTACAAAGAAATAACATTTTCAAAACATTTTCTACTCTTTAAGACAGAGAAAAGGCAAACAGTTGGAAATGCAAAATACTTTTACTAAAGGAATTGGCAAAATTAAGACTGGTCTGGAAAATTATACCAAAAGTGCTACTTGGAATCCCAAGGTTTATATTAAACCATGATTTTTACTCAAAAATATTTTACAAGGTTTTCATTTAGAGTTTATGTTTCTGTTGAAAAGCAGAAAATGTTCATAGGAAATTTCATTGGTTTGTTGTTGATGATGACCTTCAGAGAAAAGGTACGGTAACCAGCTCTATCCACCGCCTTTGCATATGGCCTGCTGCTCTTGGGTATGAGGTTTCCCATCGCACTCAGCAAGATTCATGTCTCGGGTTGATGATGGGGAGGGGTAACAGTGGCCATCGCTGTGCCTGTTCACCTCAGCTCAGACTCATTTACACCTGAATGAACACCGCTCGTGTGTGTTTGCCCTCCTGTGTTCCCATCGTGTACAGGGTACCGTGCTGAATACCCCTCACCTACGGTGGCAGCACTTGCTGATCCCTTCCCATCTGGTTCACATCATGTGAATACAAACTGTGAGCATCACTCAGGCTTCCCAGGAGTGCAGGCTCAAAGGTGGCTTCACACGTGTCCAGGAGCTGCTGGATTTCCCTACCAACCCTTCACTACTGTGACCATTCCCCCCAGTAACCAGAGTCCCCCACTTTGGGGGTTGGTGGCTTTCTGTGTGGCTGTCCCCAACATCCCTGGTGACAGGGAGTGGGCAGCATCTTCCAAAACCAGGCAGAGTGTCCAGATAACCAGGAGGAAAGGGAAAGAAACAGCTCCTACTGATGGGAGCGAGGACAAGAGGACAGAAGGAAAATCAGCCACCTGCTGAAGGGGCTTCAGGGCACAGCACAGTGATTGGGACCCTCAACTAGAAGTCCTGAGGCTTCCTCCATGGCTTTGCCAAATTTCTCCACTCCTCTCTTCACTCACCTGTTGGAGATACAAAGTTCTCTGAAACCTGTGTTTGGCAGGGAAGTATTTCTTACCATCCTCTTAAGAGCAACCTGTGTGCCTTGGGGATCCTGGTCTCTGGGGCCAGGAGGCCGGGGCTTGCAGCGCAGCTCGGGGGGGGGGGGGGGGGGGGGGGGGGGGGGCAGCCTGGCAGGGTGGCTGTCCCTTGGGATCGAGGAGTGTACCTGTGTGAGGGGTACCCTGCAGGGGGGCTGAACCCCTCCTGGTGTCGCAGCCTGGCTGTAGGGATGAGATGTGAGACACCCACACCCCCAGCTGGCAGGGATTTCTGCTCCTCCTGCTGCAGCTGGAGCTGACTGGCTAATAGTTGGCCAACACTTGTCATTTTGGCTTTATCCTTTGCAAATGAAATGAAATAATTTTCTGTGTGCTCCAAGTGTGGTGCACACCCTTGGCCTCCCTCTTAGGTTTTGGGAACAGACGTTGTGGTGTCTCTTCCCCCTCTGAATCCCTCTGACACATCCTAATGAATGAGGATCGCAACGCTTTAAACTGTCTGTTCATCTTGAGACCAAGATTTTATCTTTCAGCTCTCCACTGCAGCCAGTCAATTAAAGCTCAGTTTCACAAATGCATGAAGATAACACAAGCTGACAGAACCCACTTAAATGACTGAAACCCTCCCCTTTTTTTAATTTATTTGGTTTTTTCCTTCCATCCAGTAGCTTTTGCTTTCTACCAAAGTGGTGAAGACAGTTACAGTGCCATGTTTCAGTGTGATGAAGATTTTTGCTTAGTCTCAGTCCCTGTGGTCATCATTTTAGACTGTCAAAATGGAAAAGCTCAAGGGATACAGCTGTTTGGGGGCGGGGTGTGTGTGTGTGTGTGTTAATCCCCAAAACAACATGTAGTACAAATCCTCATTTCAAAAGCTACTCCTTAAAATTTTGGTAAAGAAAATCCTCATTTTAGGTTAAAAGACAGCCCTGCATCATTTGCTGCACTCTGCTAGCAGCGTGGCTTGCCTGCTGGTTTAGCTGTTGCTGCCATTAACGGGAGAATAATTTATTCTCGATACATTTGGATAGATTTTCATGCCTTTCTTAATTATGTCTTGCCAAGGGCAAAAGTATTGTGAAGCAGTGAGGTTAATGCAAAAATCTGTTGATTCTAACATACCTGACCTGAAGATTCATAAAAAGCCAATATCAATTTCCCTCCCTCTACCATCATTTAAGAGCAGTTTGAACAAGTGGCTTTGGAGATTTATTCCTTATTGTCAAAAGAAATAGAATTGTTATCTTGTGCTTTGCTAAATACAGTGTAGCTCATGCAAAGCTGGCTCTGCTCAGCAGGGGATACCACATTACACGCAGAGCAGGCAGAGTTCACTGTGAGGCTAAAATTTGGGAGTGAGAGAAGGAGAGGATGTTTTCTCCTTCGTGTCCCATCGTCAGATTTGTCAGAGTGGATTTTAAGGGTGATGGCTCCAGGTCCTGCACAGCATTTCTGTCATGGAGATGAAAGGTCACTGGCTTTCACGTTTCCTGGTAGTGACAGGCCACAGAATTATGGCCCCAAGTTGTTATTTCTAGTCATTGTGACTTCTCCAGACAAAAGTGTGTCAGCTGCTGTTAACTCTTTCCTCTGTGGGATCTAAAATTTGCCTATCACTGTTAAAGTCAAGCTCATGGCTGCCACCACCCCTCCTGCCCCCAGGTTCTGCTGCAGTTCAGCGACAACATCCATCCACTCCACTTAAGCCAAAGCCTTTTGGAGCAGAACCCCTCCCCAAGGTCCCTATCCTCCTGCCACCAGGGCTGTAGACATGCCTGTGTGGTATTGCTCGTACCTCCCCTGGGTCTCCTCACCTGACCCCGCATCCTTCATTTCCAGACCTCTGCTTGTCCCTCCCCATTGGCCGCCATCCACTGCTGCGGGTTGACCCTCATTATTGGTGGGATGTGTGGTTTTCAAAGCCCTTCCTTATGCATTGCTGTGAGGTTGCTCTTTACGTTTTCCTCAACCCTTTGGACATGGTCTGGCAAGGATGCAGGATGCAGGGATGGGGGGGATCCCCAGTGTATCATCACTCGCATCTCTTAATCTGGTTTAATCTGTGATCCAGATTAAATGGGTTCCTCTTCTTTGCCAGCTCAGAACAACTCTCACCTACAGCTGTGCACAAAGAGAGAAATTCATCGCATTTTGCCTTGCCCAGTGCTGTTTGTTCAGAGCCAAAACCACCTGCTCCCAACGTGCCCTTTCTGGGGGGGTGTGAGTAGATGTGCTCCAGCAGGGAGCCCCTGGTTGGCCTTGGAGGTCCTTCCTCCAATGCCGTCCTGAGTTAGTGACATTCTGCCCTTTCCCCACTGCTCGAAGGGGGCTCAGCTTGATGCCACTTGTGCATCCGTCCCCTGTTTGCTGCTCCGTGGAAGAAAAACCAGATGCAGTTTCAAATGAGCAGCCTCACAGCTGCTCAGGGAGGGCTGGAGGTGAGTGGAGGCAGGGAAAGGGCAGCACAGGGTTCCCGGTGACCCGTGTTCTCCTGATTTTACGAAGTGCTCCTTGAGAATTGTATCCAAAAATAATCTCGACATTAGCAAAAAAATCATCATCATGGGGGATTTTATGGCACAGATGTGTCAGAGAAATTAATTTAGAAATTCCAATAAATGCCACAATAGAATTGTTAACTTCCTCTCCTCTCTAAAGTGTGAAATTCTTTTCAGAGCATTTCAAAGGCGCCTTCACCCATTTACACATACATTAACACAATTGCTAAAATAGACTTTGCCTTGGCACTTTCATTTTCTTGAGGGATGAACAGAATAAGCATTATAAATTTCTAGTTTGGGGTCTAGTTTTGCTTTTAATTTAATTTTTGTTGCCACCAATCCTCAACAAAAGAATTTGTTACCCAACAAGACAGATAAAAGCTAACATGTCCGCAATGAAATACTTCCTGGCAAGTGTGCTTACTCACGTTAGTGTGCGCTTCTGGAGACATTTGTGATGAAATACTGGGCAGCAGGAAGACGTTTTGTAGATAATCTGTCACCGAGTCTTTAATTAAAGTTTTAAATTATCACGGTTGATACAGATTTCAAAGTAAAGCATCTGATCCCGCCCTCCATGCACAAGTAAAAGATCCCTTTGACCTTCAACAGATTTTACCTTGGTGAAGTAGCGTGTATTCAGGCAAAGCTCTTACGGGTATTTATTGTAATATGCTATAAATATTAATAATTTCATACAAATGTCTTCATCTTTGAGGGCATGGGCACAAAAGCGAGTAAATAACAATTTATTTCCATGCATATAAAGTCACATTTTACCTAAGCTTCTCTCTTAATTTACTGAGAATATAAACTTGCTGCTCATTATTTCTCCATTCGAGTTAATTTGAAATAAGCATTCTGCACCCCAGCCTGTTCCTTCTGTAACACAGCGTGTTTTGCCCAGAAAGCCCCTGAGGATTTTCCCAGCCTGTCGAAGCCAAGGGCAGCCTTTCCTTTAGCAAACAAATACGCGTTGCATGTGTCCCTAAGTGAATTTTGCACACCGCTGCGTAGAACAACACCCAGGGGCTGACCTTTGAGGCTGCCTTTTCCTAGCAAGTGGTATGTAGAAATGCCTTTTTTCTAGGGGGGAGATTTTTGGAAGTCCCCAAGGGCCAAAAGGGCATCCCTTTGGAAAAGCTCCACTGTGGACAACAGGGCGGGGAGTTGGTGCTGGGACATGGGCAGGCAGCTCCCAGGCCAGGTTGTTCCCATCCTGCCCACCCACATGCCAGGTGAAAGTTGGTTCAAGAACTTAATTTACTTTCATAGATTAAGCAAGGTTAGTACTGATTGCCATTTGAGTTGGGTGGACCTCCCAGGAAAATCTAGATGCCACAGAAAGAGGTGTTGGTGATGCAGTCAATGAACAGGGCTCTTTCTTCTGAATCAGGGAGGCAACCAGATCAATGCCCAGGTGTTGTCTTAGGGAGGCAATGTGATGTGTTTATTTTGCAAAACCCTTTGGGATTTTGGGGGACAAAAGGCTCCATATAACTGTAAATTATTTATTGTATTTTAGGTGAAGGTAATGGATTAACAGTGCAATTTGTTAACCAATATTGACAAAAAGAACTTTCTCACGTGGTCGCTGTTGTTCCAAATTATCAGCTATCTTCAGAAGTGCCAAGATTTTAATATCGAATAATCCAGTGCCTGGATATTAAGTTGCCTGTGCTTTATTGCATAAATATAGCGTGTTATTTATCTGCAAGATGTGGATCACTGAATCTCCAGGTCATTGTTTCGGAAAGCATCTGCTTCTAACATGATCAGTGACAAAAAAATCAATGAAGTGTGGAAAAAAGTTACTAAAAGTTTGAGGAAAAAAAGGAAGGTTTGGGGGAGAGGATGTTTTGTCTGCCATTTGATTCTATACAACTGTTGCAGGATAAAGGTGACACAGAAAATGTGGCAAGAGGACAAGAGAAGACTTCATATTCATTTACTTTATGGAAAACAGTGGTTTGGAGCCATGGGGAAATTCCTTTAGAAAAAACTACTAAATAAAATTCCTCTTCTAATTTATTTCAGGAATTCCTGAAATGGCCAGATTTTAAGATTGCAGTTAAAACCCCTTCAGTCAAAGTCTATGCAATATGCTGATTGATTGTGCAGATGCAAGTTGACTGTGACCAGCCATGAAGAAGATGTATCCCCCACACCACACTTTGCTGGATTCCACGATGTTCTTCATAGGTCCCGGAGACCGAAGCCGGTAGCGTAGCATAGCCGCATCACCCTTCGTTCTTGGTGGATGAAGTATTCATGGCAGGTAGCCAGCCAGCTCGCTTGGGTGCTTGGTTGACACCCCCCCCTCCACCACCCCATTCAGATGGCAGGCTGAGGGGTCACG